TTGCCTCGGCAGCAATATGTGGCTTCTTTTCTTTTTCTCTGACCTCCTTTAGAGTTGCGATTACCGCTTCGAATGTGTTATAGATTGCTGTGATGCTGTCCGCCCGACACGCCCATCTGGTATCTGACAACTTCTTGAGGACATATTCCCGCTTGTTTGTTCCTTCAACGGCAGCATTGAACTCTCTTTGGTGTTTCAGATACACAGCATGTCGTTTCGGGCAAGATTCAATAAACACATATAAATTTTGCAGCGTTCCAAAGAAGTCTTTTGCTACTGTGTTGTTCGTCATGGTGTCTACGATCACTAGATTCAAGACATGAGCGTAGCAGTGCGTGTAAAGCGCTGATGGTGAAAGCTCTTTGATACGCGCTTGCAGTCCAGTGTGGATCCCGGACACGTTACTTGCACCGTCATAACACTGCACGCGCATGTTAGCAACTTCTATTCCACATTGCTGCAACTTGCGTTGGACTGTATTGAATAGAGCTTCAGCTGCTGTTTCCTCCATGGGTTCAACTGCTATAAGGCGTTCCTCGACCGTTCCATTCCAAACATACCGGATTAGTAGAGACAACTGTTCCGTTTTGCTATTGTCAGGTGTTTCATCAGCCATGATTGCATAGAGCTCTGCTTCTTTGACACGGCGTATAATTTCATTTACAATGGATGAACCAACTATCTCAATCATCTGATTTTGGATTTCTGGACTGGTATATCTAGCGTTGTCTAAAAACGATAAAAAATATGTATATTAAAACTTGCGTGCATGTAATTGAAATAACTACAAAATATCTATCAATTTTCTTGCTTTTGAATGGAAAAAATATAGCAATATCATTGATCAAAAGATATCACTGTTCACTGTTTATTTTTTAATTGTTTCAATCTTTTTGTAAGTGTTCAAAAGTAAAAAAACAACTGTTTTCTTCGACTTCAAGAAAATTAAACATTCAGGTGTATGAAAAAAAGCTATAATTTAAATTACCTGCAGAACTACTTAGATGGTTATGGATAATTGAGTCAGACTTCGCTACATGTGCTAGAAATTCTTTTGAACACCTTTGTTCAGCGAGGATTCATCCTCACGATGCCCTCTGAAGGGTAAATTCAGCTTGCCCAACAGTCGCACAAGATCAATAATTTTTCCAATAATAGTTCGATTTTTTTTCACCTAAAGAAAAAATTTATTTTTTTTCTGACTTTGTTTTTGGCTCTTATAGTGACATTATAAATGCAAGCTAGTTGTTTTCCATCAGCAAATATTAGAGGGACGTACATTTTGTTGACGATAACTCTCTTGCCTCTCAGCTTCTTCGCTCATCTGATGATCTACTGGCTTCTGTGATTTCCAGTGACGATACGCTTGCAATGAATGCTTGTGGCAATCTGATTTCTCGTGCTTTGAAAGATTTTCAACTTTCTTCCAATTGGAAAATCCAGTCTTGATAAATGTTGGCTCGCTTCTTAATGAGACCTGCAAAAGTGCAAAAAATATGATAAGTACGATAGATAATAAACATTTAGTAGCTCAAGTTTACAATTCAGGCAATTTAAGTAACAAAGTTATATCTTAACGAGAATGAAAACGCAAATAATACAAAATACTTAAAACAACTCACCTGTGCGTTGCACACTCTGCAGACGAAACAAAACGCTTTGTCTAATGATACTGAATACTCGAGCCAATCGAATTTTTCGTGCCACGACACTAGAAACTTACGATTACGCTTATCCACAGGAAAGATATGATTCTAGGCCGGCAAGGTCCTTTGCTTATTACGTGATCCCTTGCTGCCGGGCCTTCCAGTTGGCAAGGGACAGCAAGGGTCATCTTGATATGTTGAGAGATCAAGAGGAGCAGAAGCTTCAGCCATTTTGCATAATACGCGAGTATGGGCTATGAGGCTATGAATAATGGATTAGATTATGTAGGCTTTTTATACTGACGGATGGAGTTAAAATTATGACCTAATTACTATTGCTAGAACGATGACATAATGTCTCATGCAATACAGTATGAGCAAACGAATTCCTTCAATAGTTTTTAGCCAATGCCTAAACTGAAACGTGCCTGATTACGTCAGTCCAGGCTCTAAAATATTTGCATATTTATCCTAGACTAATTAGGCTGAGTGGTTATTACATGATTTTTGTAGACTCATGTAACATGATACAAACACATATAAAATAATACCGTTTATGACGCAAACACGCAAGCATTGCAACGCGTTTTGAATATTTCTGAAATTCGATGCAATAAGCCGGATGCACCTACTTCAAATTTCCGTCTACGAAGATCACGCAAATGATCAGATAATTATGCGCTGTTTGGACGTTTTTACTTGGATTTGACTCGTAGCTTACCTCATCCCCCCCCCACTATCTCCCCGGATTTGAACTTTTCACAAGAGCGGTTTTGGAGACTATTGGGGGGGGGGCGACCGCCCCCCCTCGCCCCCCCCTTGGCTACGCCACTGGTTGCAATTATATAATAGGGTCATTTATACATGCGAAAATTAGTCGCAGCTTAAATAAATCACGAACGATTTGTGTAAATGCTCAATTTGTAAACAAGCTGCGATTAACTAAAATATCGCCAGGGTTGAAAGCTTGACCTACAGTAAATAAGTCGTCCATAGCTAATTTAGGCTGTGGCTGCTTATTTAGGCTATGGCGTATTTTTGTGTCTATAAATGGCCCTAATGTCTACTGCTACCAGTTTCCCCTTAACAAGTAATCTTCCAGGTATCTGGAATACAATAATCTAGGTATCAGAATAGAATAATAATAATCTTCTAGGTATCAGAATAGAATAATAATAACAGTAATCTTCTAGGTATCAGATTAGAAAAATCAAGTAAGATGCATTGCAGTTTGTAATTGATTACCCATTAAACTGCAATGTGCCCTGATGCACCAGCTAGAGTTTACTATTTTACTCTCATGCCAAAGTATTTCACTTGTCAGGGAGAGAGTCTTCATTCACATTGAAGGGGCACACCTATTTTGACCCTTGCAAATCTTTAGGAATCTTGCACAAAACCCAAAAAAGAATGGCTGTAAGCACAACATAAAACAATAACAAATACAAAAAACATGTCCAGAAGTCTGGATGGTTAAGATTAGGCGAGGATTGAGATGGATTGTAAATGACATCTTGATTAATTGTTGGCAGACACTTCTTCAAGTTTAGGTCAATTTGTATGAAAATGTCATCTTACATGTTGTTGTTGTTGTTGTTGTTGTTGTTGTTGTTGTTGTTGTTGTTGTTGTTGTTGTTGTTGTTGTTGTTGTTGTTGTTTTTGTTGTTGTTGTTGTTTTTGTTGTTGTTGTTGTTGTTGTTGTTGTTGTTGTTGTTGTTGTTGTTGTTGTTGTTGTTGTTGTTGTTGTTGTTGTTGTTGTTGTTGTTGTTGTTGTTGTTGTTGTTGTTGTTGTTGTTGTTGTTGTTGTTGTTGTTGCTGTTGTTTAATTTAATGAGGCCAAGAGACTTGTAACAAGTTGTTCCAACAAGTCTGATATCATCGATCTGCACATAACAAATTGTTAACATGACAACAAGCTTGTAGCCAGGGAGCAAAACAAGCTCACAAAGCTCCGTTTTCAAATGCCAGAATTACCTTTTCAAAACCCAGAACTCCGTTTCCAAATGCCGGAACTCCGTTTTCAAATGCCAAAACTCCGTTTTAAAATGGCAGAATTACCTTTTCAAAAGCCAGAACTCCGTTTTCAAATGTCAGAACTCCCTTTCCAAATGCGGAAACTCTGTTTTCAAATGCCAGAACTCTGTTTTGAAATGCCAAAACTTTGTTTTCAAATGCCAAAACTTTATTATTATTACTTTATTATTTTATTCTGTCTAACGCCAGACCATTTCACTCGTCAAGGGGAGAGCACTGGCGCTCAATGAGTTAAGAGTACAACGATTTGGATTATAATACTAGAAAGGTGTGAAGAACCTTTAGGAATGAACTTCTCAAATCTGTTTTCATAATACTCATACAGTATGATGTTTGTGATGTTGTGAGGTATTCCAATGTTGGTATCGAAGGAACTAGATTCTGTTCCGAAATATCACTTACTTGAAACATCCTGATCGCGTAGCTCAGTTGGCAGAGCATTGGTCTGGTATTCCAAAGGTTGTAGGTTCGATTCCCACCATGGCCTGGCATATTTTTCAAGTTCGCCTGGTGTGCATATACACTCAGAGTAACATCACAAATATCATATTCAACTGAGTACATGACAACACTAACACAGAAAAAAACTCATACAGTATATTTAAAAAGAACTTACTTACTAACTCTTTGTACCCTTGTAAATATGTATATACTGTAGCATCATGTATCCTATAGTCTCATCATTTTTTTGGTTTATAATATATATTCATCCATCCATGTGATATTGGTTTCCTGAATAAATATTATTATTCATTCATATGCTATCTGACATGATGAACTGTGATTATGACCTTGTGTATAGTAACCTGCAATCAGGCTTCAGGCCTATAGAAAATAGCCTGATATCAGGTTACGTAACTTTACGCATGCAGAGTTGAAGAAAAGTTTTATAGTCTCCCTCACAGACGTTCGAGGGAGACAAAAGTTAGGCACGCTGCTAAACGCTGCTTTTATTGCATTTATATTGTTTAACTGGAGATCTAACTTTACGAATAAAGATTTTGAATAGGTAAACTTCACTTACATAAGAAGGTAAGCACTTGTGGTACATTTATATATTGTAGTCACACTGTCGACTAAAATCGAACACTTCTATTAAATATTTGTGAATATTTTTCAATAAAAATTAAATTAATACGTGTATATTAAGTCCCTTTGCTACCAAAATTTAAAAAGCATCAAAACGACACAAGTGGGGACAAAAATCCCCACAACGTTTAAAATATTTATTTAAACAAATGTGTACATGATGGGAATAATAATATATCTTTACATTTATAATTCTACAAAACACTGAAAGTTGTGTTCAAATCGAGGTTTAAATATACAGTATAAAGCAATTATTTAGTAACTGTTGACATTTTGATTCTTAACGTTTATATTTTTTTACGCCATTTGCAAACTAGCCGCAGAACAAACTACAGGAAGGCGTTGTTTAGACAACGAAAAATCACCTTATGTAAGAATAAATGCTTTTTATTTAATTAGCGCCTCCTCATTACCTCCGCCAGGAGGTTATGTAATCATTATCTCCGCCAGGAGGTTATGTAATCATTACCTCCGCCAGGAGGTTATGTAATCATCTGGGTTTGTATGTGTGTGTGTGTGTGTGTGTGTGTGTATGTGTGTGTGTGTGTGTGTATGTGTGTGTGTATGTGTGTGTGTTTGTCTGTGAGCACGATAACTCAAGAAATACAAAACATATCCGTACGAAATTTTGTAAGTGCATTTCCCATCGGCTAAGGAAGAACTGATTAAAATTTGGTTGAATTTGGTTAAAAATTGAACGAGAAATGATCAAAATTTTGTCTTGTTTTTCCCGGACAATTAACAAAAAAATATTACTGAATGCGTAATTAGGATGTGTATAATTTATGCACTCAGTACTAAGACAATAATGAGATGATAAACCTCATTAAGCTTCGGCCTTCATTATCTATTGTCTTAGTTGCATTTCACGCGACCGAAATTCAATGTCTAAAACAAGGCTTACGGAGTTACGCATTATTACGTTCAGCAAAGTGCCAGCCCATTCAAATCTAACAACATTAGATTACTTCAATACAGGTTGTATAAAAAAAACGCAACCTCGGAATTTCCCAAGAAATCGACATTGTTTTAAAGACAAAAGATTTTAGCTGCCTGGGAATTTAAAATAGCACAACTGTGAAAATTACTGCATACGCGCGAGTGCATAAAGCAAAATTTATGCATTTATTTAATGACACTTAATAAGTTTTTATTTTACAAGTACTGTACAGTACAATTCGATTTCAATTCGCGGGGGCCTGAAATCTTTTATGCTTAAGAATTACAAAGTGGATTTCTTAGGAAATTCCAAGGTTGCGTTTCACTTCCGAGTAACGGGCGGAGGTATGCAGTCTCTGAGTGCCCTCTAGTTTTAAATAAGCTTTCATTGGTAGGAATGCAACTGCCTGAAATATATATTAGGAGAATTTAGACGTTTCGAGAATTTAGACGTTTCCTTAATAAATTTGATAAATATCGCTGGTTTTGAAGATATATCGGAACAAGAACTAGCAAACAGAATAAATACAGCTTTTCTTGAGCCCTTATCAGAATATCAACTATCTTCACCGTTAGAGCGACTTAACTTAGAGGAAAACCCAGACTTCTTAGAAGTTTCTGAAGAAAGGGTTTTATCACAGCTACAAAAACTCAACCCCAGTAAAAGTGGTGGCCCTGACGAAGTGCCCAACTGGCTCTTGCGAGAGTATGCTGCAATCCTTGCCCTCCCAATTAGTCTACTCCTAAATGCATCCTACAAACAACAACGCCTACCTGCAATATGGAAACTTGCGAATGTTTCACCGCTGCCAAAAGTAAAAATAGTACAGGACCTGAAAAAAGAACTTAGGCCCATTTCATTAACACCTAATATTTCGAAGGTTGCAGAGCATTTCGTTGTTAATGATTATGTGAAACCAGCTGTTTTGAAGAAAATTGACCCCAATCAGTATGGAGCAATTCCTAAATCATCGACGATTTTTGCTCTTCTTAGTATGGTGCATAACTGGACCTCCGGGCTTGACGGTACCGGTTCTACAACTAGAATCATTCTATTCGATTACCAAAAAGCTTTTGATCTAATTGATCACAGAATTTTGTTCAATAAACTACTTCAGTTAGATCTGCCACGAAGTGTTATAAATTGGATTATTGATTTCTTAAGTAAC